TTTTTTTTTTTTAATTCTTCTAACTTATATAATTTCAATTCAGTTTAGGTGGTCCATTTCCTGAAGATATTAATTCTTCGCGTAATGATGAAGTAATTACTAATTTAATACGGTTTTTGGAGCAGCGTATCAACAAACGAAATGTATTACGTGCTGATTTAGAACAAAAACGTAAGAACATAATTTATTTTTTAACAAAATTTAAAATATGCATAATATTGTCGTGGTATCTATATATTTACAGAAAATGATCTTAGAAAGAAGATAATGACAATGGAACAAGAATATATGAAGTTAAAAATTGAAAACGCATCTTTAAAAGCTGCAAATTCACAACAAAATAAGAAGGTAAAGGAAGAGAATTTCATTGATTGCAGAACGACATATAAAATAATTCGCATTTGCTGTAGGTTTCTGCATTAGAAGGTCATTTATGTAAAACTGAAGAACAAATTGACAGCTTACTCCGAAAATTAAATAGTGCAAATGATACAATTCGTTGCTTACAGCAAGAGGTAATTAACAAATGTATTAAATGTATTAAATGATTATATGAATATTAATGATTATACGATTATTAATTTGTAGTTGAAAGATAGAAACATGGCATTAAATCAACGTTTAATAGATAAGCAAAGGGTGAAACAAAAGTATAATACCAAAATGCAGGTAGAAACTGATAAAATGAATAAAGAATTAGAAGTCAAGTTACGTCAACAACGTGAAGAGTTACAGGTAATAAAGTAAAGTAAAATATAACATAAATTTATTGATTAAAAATATTTTTCTTTTATAGAATCAAATGAAAGAAAAGGAAAATAAATTAAGATTAGTAAAGCAAATTTTAGTTGATGATAATGTATCTGGTGCTTCTAAAGATTGTGCGACGCCCACTTCAAATTTTGTAGTAGCAACTCCAAAAACAGAGGGTCGATCACGCAAAGTCGGTTCTTTATTATTAAATAATTATTAATAATAAACTTTATTATTAAATAATTTATTTTTGAACGTGATTTAATGATTTATATTCACAGGATAAAGCAGCTGTTGTGAACCCAAGATATAGGCGATCACAAAGCGCTGATAAGTGGATTGATCATAGGCCAGGAGCACTTGTTCCTGTTGGAACCGTTCTGCAACCTTTAATGCGTAGAAGACGTAGTGTTACACGACTTACAAGTCCAAAAGAAATAACAGATGGTGCATCTAGATATTGTTTGGTCGCGCAAGAACGCGATACCGATGGTGAACTTGAAACAAAGTTATTCAAGGTAATTGTATTTAAAAGAAATCGAGAACAATTATGTAATTATATAATATTATAAAATGTATACTATTATTACGTTAGGGAGATATAATACCTACTAGTGGAGGAGGTGCACAAGTTGTATTTAACGATATGGAATGTTTAAAACAACTATCTCCAAAGGCAAGAAAACGTAGTGGTCCACAGGATATAGAAAATGTAAATGAAATAGGCTCTTCAAATCATTCATCTATACATGCAGAATTCCATTCCAAACGCCCACGTGTAGTAAATTAATAAAAATAATAGTAAGAACAAAGAAAAATATTAATAAGAACAATTAAGAATAATGAGATAAAGTCAAGAAATTTTTATATCGTAATTGTAACTTTATTGATGAAGAATCATTGTATATAAAAGTATAAAATATTTGCATTATTAACAAAGTTGTAGCAAATGAAATGAATTAACTGATTTAAAGTTTATCAAAAACTGTGAAATATAATACTAGTTTAATATAACTAGTTAAAAAAATTCTGTAAAATAAGAATTATAATTTTTATATTATTTTACAATAACTGTGTGTGTGTATATGTGTGCGTATTATTTTATTAAAAACTATTCGATCTTTATATACAAATGAAACAGTATTATATTTATTGAATTAAATAAATGTTATACAATGTTCCAATTATTTGCAATTGAATTTATAGCTTGCATTCAAAGTAAAAATTTACCATGCATCAAATACAATAACTAAATACTAACTTGTTCATACTATATGTATCTAAGGATAATCTAAAGAAAAGAGTACATCTTTTAGTTTGTATTTTATACATCCTACTTTGTACATGATCCCCCTATATTTTCTACATCGAATTGAATTAAACATATTTCAATAAATTACTTTTATGATATAATGATGAAATCTAGAAATACGTGGTATGTAAACACATTATTGGTTGTTATATTAAAAGTAATAAAGCTCAATAGATATATTACATATGATAAAAATATAGAAATATTGAATTTGATAAATGAAATATATAAAAATGTTAATAAATTGGTAAAGTGTTAAGTCTCACAAAATAAAAAACAAATTCAAAGAATTTTAAATTTTATAAAATGTTAACACACGAATATTTTTGAAAATATTAATAGACATTGATGATATATTGACATTAAATAAAATAATTTTATAAGTACATTTTTACTGTCATTACTCAATCAGAATGTTAATCGCTGTTTAAATTATAAATAATATAATGATAAAAAGACAATATTTGTACAAACTCTATATACATTGGAAATACGCAATAAATTTATACAATATAAAATGTGAGGTTAAAAACATTTATCTTGGCGCGCTTTTAACTATATCTCCGCAAACGGATATAATTTGTTTTGGAATCGATTCTGATTTGCTAGATTCCATTCTCAATCAAAAATTTTGTTTGCAGAAAAATTTATTCACTAGTTATCACTACACAAACGTATTGCACAGATGAGAAAATATTCAGTGGATATATATGTGTGTGTATGAACAGGATTTAGTAAAAAATAAGTTTTATTAGTATTTACATACAATTTATTCAGATTTTCATTAATTAATTAATTTATTTAAAATTATTAAACTTGAAATGACTCGCGTAGTATTTTGTTACCAATTCTAATAAAATTTTTTATGACAAATTTTATATAAAAAAAGATCAGTTGGAAACGATAGATCTTTTGAAATGTAGTCGCTATTTGCTATTTTTTTGTCTTGACAACTTCTAATGAATCATAGTAAAAGCAGATACGTTATGATTGAATTTTTTGTCCTTGTAAATTATTGAACTTGTTCCCACTTGTACATGCCGATAACGATAACAAAAAGTATATACAATTTTTCTCTTTCTCTTTTTTCTTTCAACCTTTATGTAACTTTTGCAATTTCCGAAGACGAACAGTTTCGATATTATTGATTAAGCGCATTTTATTAACAATTTTTCAAATTCATTATAGTTAAATATGCTAGATTTTATAATCTTTGAAAAATTTTTTAAAATTGTAAAAATGTATAAAATAGACATTTTTAAGATT